TATAAAAATTATTATACCTGTTGTGGAAGAAAAGTTTACGGGTTATAGACGTTATTATCTATAGACGTGTTCATGCCTATATATATATATATGGCTTAGTAAGTAGGAAAGGATCTAAAACGTGTTCACGCTTTATATTAGGTTTTAATAGCAGGATATGAACGTGTTCACGCTTATATTTGCTACTGGGAAAGGATATAAACGTGTTCACGCTTATGTACGGTGGCTGTAGGAGGGATAAAACGTGTTCACGCTTTATATTAGATTTTAATAGCAGGATATGAACGTGTTCACGCTTATATTTGCTACTGGGAAAGGATATAAACGTGTTCACGCTTACGTACGGTGGCTGTAGGAGGGATATACAAATCAAAGGAATATTTGTTATGTAAGTCTCTGTTTATACTTAGCTCTGCGACCGACTTTGTATGTTGTGTTTGACTGTCCAAGTCCCTGGTGCGTTCTCTTGTCTTCGAAAGTTGATAACGAGCCTCTGTCTGCTTCTGAACACTTTGCGTGTTGATCACTGACTGCCTTCTTCTAAGTAAATGCGTCTTCTTATATACGCATCAGACCAAACTTTAACGTAGCGCAAAGCTTAGTTTACAGCTGGCTTGGATTTTTGACGTCGTTGCTGTTTTGCGCTTTCGCCGTAGTTAATATGCGCGCGCATCAATTTTTACACAAAGCTCTTTGCACAAAAGCTTTCTTTGACGTTTCTTCTGTTGTGCATTTGATTTGTTTTGAAACGTGTTTAGCTTAGTGTCGGTAGTGGCAGTTTTAAATATTTATATTTATTTATTAAAAATAACATAAATATATAAAATACAAACAAAAAAGAGTATAAGTTTAGATAATAAATAAATAAGGTAGGTACAATATTTATTTATTTGAATATATTTTGCATTCTTTTAAATTTTCAATGCAATCGTAGGTTTAATTCATTGTGATGCAGTTGCGTACATGCGGGGGTGGCTTTTAGTAAGTTATTTAATTTTAATATATTATATAAAAATTAACCAATTTTTATTTCAGGTATTAGCTGCACACTAGTTATATGTAGGTTGGAAATTATTACAAAATTTCCATCCTTACAGTATGAATAATAAAACTCTAAACAGCATAATTATTGAATTTATGAATATTTATTAAAGTATTGTAAGAACATAAAATAAAATAAAATAAATTTTATAAAAATTTTATAATATTCTAAATGGCAACATTAGTCATTTTATAATTATTTATTAAAGTATTATAAAAATATAACTATAGTTTTGAGTTAAAAATAAAATTCTAAATAGCATAAAATAATAAGGTATGATTGAATGTAATAACTAATCTACACATTACTTTTGAATTTTTTTTTTATTTCAACTGAGTAGTGTGGTGAAAAGCACTACATACTTGAGCTTTGAAATATTTGTTTTAAATACAGATACAGATATTTGCATTTCAATATATCCATATCGTTGTATCAAAGAAATTTTTTTTTATTTTTTGTGGCAATGCATTTTATTTCTCATCTTTTTATACGATTCATTTACACCATCTCCGCTAGCTTAATGCTTGACAATTATTACAGTTGCGTTTACATTATCGCAAAACTTAAGACTTGGCATTTGTTTTATTTTGTGTAGTAGTATGAAATAGTTCTATATAGCAATTTTTATTGTGCGAAATTGAAAAGATATGAACATTCTCTAACCCCTATCTCTTCTGTCAGAAACAGGCTCAAACATCATACTCCCGGTAGTGTGAATAGACCGATTTATTAATTAAAAGTACTTGGTTTTTCCCTTTTGAATTTTACATTTATTTATAATATTTTATATTATATGTTAAATCATTTATATTATACTATAATCATCCATCTTGTCATTAAATACGCTTTGAAATAGTACGTATATTCCACATTAAACCAGCATCAATATTTTTTAGTTTGTTTTGTAAAAAACTTTAAATAGTTTTTTGTTGCAGTGTAATAGAGAAAGCGTTGTGTAAAGGACTTTTTGAGATCTATTCCGAGCTTTACAGAAAAAGCTTTAATGGTATTATTTATTTTTTATTTTTTACTTATAACATAAATATGCCGAAAATAAAATGTTGAATGAACTAACAAATACCAGTAGCAGAGGCCTTCGACTGTTTGAATATTTTAATTACAAAAATTAATATTAATAACAATATATAATAATAATAAATTTCAATTCTTAAGACAATTATGATGATTATGATGAAACAAACTTTTTTTTTAATATAAAGTGTTTTTTTAATAAAGATGTTTTAACACAGTAGTCAATCATTATTATTTTTAATTAACTAAATATTATAAATATTACCAAAAAAACAACCGATGCGTATTCGGCAATATTCGAAATAGCTATAATAAAATAATAATAAAAATAAGCAATAAATATATAAACAAATAATGAAACTTCGTTGTTGTTGTTTACTACAGTTTAAAATTAATAATTAAATAATAATGATGTTAAAATAATAAAGCAAAGTAATACAACCAACGTTAGTATTAACAAGCTATGGGTTACCCAGATTAAAAGTTCACTTAAATATTGCAAATGTCGAGGAAGACATATTCGAAAGCTGTATGGCCGAGCTGTATGGTCAGTCAAAAATCAAATAATTAAAAATAATAAAATTTTGATGTTGCAATTCTTCACTATTCGAAAAAAGTTAATACTGAAAAAGTTTGTAATCACAAAAATCAAAAACTATTTATTGGCATATATATTACATTTCAATAAAATGGACTTTACATTTATAAGCATAATTTTATTATACAAAATTATAGTTAAAAATACCAAAAATACTTAAAAATAAATTAATCATTATCACAAAAGTACTTAAACTAGTTCCTGTATTACCAGTATTACCCCACCATTCCCAAGTGCCATTGAAATTTGCGGGGTTACAACGTACATCTCTAATCGCTCTGCGTGCACTGGGTACTGCTGTGAGACGATATGCCTCAATGTCATCTGCTAATTCTTGTAACTTTTCTGGTTCAAGCTGAGCTAAATTATAACGTTCACAAGGATCATTATCAATATTAAATAGACAAGGCGCTTTAAGTGGTTCACAACGATATAGAGTTTGGTTAAAATCTTCACTTCGCTGTGGACACCGATGAGTTGCCTGAGAACGCATAGCTTCAATATGTGCTATCGTAAGATTTCTTCCACCAATAATATCTTGTACTTCAGACGATAATACTTCTTGTACATAGTATGGTGCTGATGGGTCTTCTTCATCGAATGCAATATCACCTAACCAGCCATCGTAAGCACCATTAAAGCTACTACCATTTATATACTTATAACCATCTCGCATATATGAACTGTATCCGTAAATATCATCTAAAACATGAAGGAAAGCACGTGGTTGGGGTTCTTCACGCAGATTGAGAGCATTCCACATATCTAAGCCGTCCAATTTTAGGCTTTGCGGTAACTTGATACCAGCTGCAGTAGCTAAAGTTGGTAGCCAATCAATAGCATGTACGAGTTGATTAGAAACATAACTGGTTTGCTTCAAAAGTGGACTGTAAAGTGCAGCTGCAGATCGAACACCACCTTCCCAAGGTGATTCCTTTTGCTAGAAGTTTATTTTTAAGATGTATTCTTTATATGTTGTGTATATTCAAAATTAATTGTGTACTTACCCCTCTGAATGGATAGTTCGAACCTCCATTTGAATGTATACCCACAGTTGGTGCACCGTTATCAGAATAAATCAGCACGATGGTGTTGTTGAGAATACCCTTCTCCGATAAAGCTTTCATTGTTTTTGCTACACTGTTGTCAAGTGATGAAATCATACCTGAAGTATGATTGAAAATTTAATTTTGTATATAAAAAATTATAAATTGTATATAGAAAAGTATATTTGGAAAAAGAGTTGTAAAAAGCATCTACAGCAGTTTTTCGAATATAAAGTTCAAAATTTTTGCAATAAATATATGTAGTTCCAATGGAACAATATTTTTATAGTAATAAAACTAGTCCAAAATATATAAAATAATAAAAACAATAAAAACGCAGTTATTATATTCATGAAAAATCCAGAAATTGTTATGTTAATTAATTAAAAAATGTCTATTAAAAGATATTGCTTTTTAATATAATTTTGTTAATAATTCGTATCAAATAATATAAATAAATTAAAAAGCTTTGACTTAAACTACGTGTTTTACGTGTGTTAGTGTTCTCATATTAAACTTTTATATTATTATTAATTAATTTTATAAAATTAACGTAAATATAGAACGTTTTATTAGCAACGAAGATACGCAGTGTAAAAGGGAACTATACCTTATGATAGTTTTTTAAAGAAAAAGATAAAAATATTTGTTTAAATACATAGTCATAAGACAAAATTAAATAAGTTATAAGTTAAATTACAAGTTATCAAATTAATTACATTTATCAAATTCATATAATTTCAAAAAAACTTTATAGTTATTTAAAGTATTAACTGATTCCATATATGAATCTGCAAAAATAGTTAAATGGAATATTAATATTATTCTGAGACAATAATATAAAATAAAACCTATATTATTTACTGAGATCACTTAATTATCTGTAGAAATATTTCACTTTTTATTATGAACTTATATTTTTTTATTTCTAAAGTTTTTAACTGAAACACCATGTATTTTAATTCTATATAATAAAGTAAGCAAATAAATGATAATGCTCAATAAAACTTTTAAGTTATGTTCCATTTATCAATTTGTTCCAGTAGCACAATATATGACTGAGTCATTTATAACCGCGGTTTATGAACAGATTTAGAGATTTTTAAATAAATCAAAATAAATTTAAATTTTTAAAATTATAAAAGCAAATTTTAAATATACTTAAGAAATAAAATGTACGTATATTATATACTATAGAAAATTTAATAGTCATGCCATCATAGTCATCATTTACATGATGACTACATATTAATAAGAAATTGATTAATCCACTTGTAAAAACATCTAATTGCTAAGGTGATTTTATAACTTTAGCATCAAAGGAATTCTTTTTAATAATTTTAATTATTCTTAAAGTCTTAAGCAGATTTTGCAAACCAAAAATATTTAAAATTAACATATAATAATACACTTCAGAATTTCATTTTATTTCTTACACACCTGCATAAGTTCGTCGTTTTTTATCAGAAATGTGAATAAATTTTTCAACTTCCTCATCCGGTGCTTGCATCGGATTATCTTCATTGCCTGTGTGCACCGCTAAATGACTCATTACCAAAAATAATGGTTTTTTCGTATTATGCTCTTTGATAACTCGCACAGCTTCCTTTGTGAAGGCATCAGTGGCATAAACACCATTTAAATCTCGTGAAGGTTTCAAATTACGACGGAAATCCAAACCTATTGAATAATTACGATCCTTGAAAATGAATTTTATTAATTTAATATATTGTTAATTATTATAAATAATTAATAGCAATTTCCTTACCAACATATGTAGTGTGTGATCATAGTAATCAATATAACCTGAATAATAGCCGAAGTGATGATCAAAACCACGCATTGTAGGCGTAAATTCCTTTTTCCAGAAACCCAAATGCCACTTGCCAACCAAATTCGTAGAGTAACCCGCATTGCGGAATATTTCCGGCATCAGCGTTTCATTTAATGGTAAACCCCAAGGTTCATCATTAATGATGACAGAGTGTTGAGTTCCTGGCGTGATTTTTTAAGAATAATACAAAGAAAGTAATAATCTCATATTTGAGTTTTAAAATTTAATTAAAAAATATTTCATTTATATGGCATGATTTAATTTTTAATTGCATTTTCTCTTTCAAACGCACCTGTGTGGATTGGATATTTGCCCGTGAGTAAAGATGCACGTGATGGTGTGCATAAATTTGGCACATAGTGTCGATTAAGTAAAATTCCATTGTATGCAAGTGCATCTATGTTGGGCGTTAGAATTTGATTGGATCCGTGAAAACTTACATCGTTAAAACCCTTTAATAAAATTTAAAGTAAAAATATTAATAGACATAATATTGTTAAATATATATCTAAATATTGAGAATAAAAAAATATAATCATCTCATTACGACAATACATTTGCTGTAGCCTTCGCATTACCAAGTGTAGGTATGACATTCATTCTCTCCAATAAACCAATAAACTTCTTTGCAATATTTACATCGAAAATAGCTTTACAAAATTAATTGAAATTAGATAAGTAATATTTTTGTATTTCTTTCATTTAATATGAAAAAAATTATTAGTTTTTATTAATAATCATAAAATGAATAATTGACCAGAAAGGAAAAACAGATAAATTCATTTTATTTGAAAGCACTAAAATTAATTACTTTATTTTTTAAATTATTAATTACTAATTCTTTGACCTATGCCACATTTGAGTAAAATTAAGTCTTAAAATTAAATTGTATAACAGTTTTCGCACAGTTCACTGCATTTAGTGGATTAAAATTTTACCCATGCTTTGCTGCTGTTGAAAAGGTAAAAAAACCAAATATGATATTAATTTGAAATTTAAAAACACATCTGTATATGTGTTTATAGCAACAAAGTTTAAATGAGTTCAGAAATTATGGATGTACGAACCTAAAACTTATATTTTTATTTATTTTCATTGTTACTAAACCCATTTAGAATGAAAGTTTCTTTGAGTGAAGTTTTTTTACAGCGACTTTTTTTTGGCATCACAGATATCGGTTAGTATCAAAAATAGTAATCCCCATCCCCCTTTTATATAACTTTTATCTATTGTTTGAAAGAATATCTTTCAGATATTTGTTGTTTGAAAAACAGTCTGTGCATGTGTTTCCATTTGAATTTTTGACTTCACCTACTATCTAGAATTAAAATTCCAGAATATATGTGTTCAACACATCGGTTGATCACACCGTAGGAAAAAATACCGACAGCTCTACGTATAAAAAATTCATATAAATTTGAAAAATCGTAAACTCTCAAATGATTTAATTATATTATTCTAATATACTCGTAACTTGGTCTTAGTTAAATTTAGTCGTTTAGCTACAGAAGCTATTTCTTATATTTTTCGAATAATGAATTCAATGCAATCGTTGGTCTTGATTTATCATTGCTTTTTTAAGGAAAAAATAATTCCTTGACTGCACAGAAATGGAGCTGACTTGAAACGCGGCCATACAAACTCTGATGTCGAACGTCCTGATCGGATACCGAAAACATTAATATATTCCAAAAAGTATTTTCGATAAACTATGGAATTAAATTACAAGAGATAGTTGACACTTTAAAGATTTAAAGGAAACGTGTCGGTTTCATTGTCCATGAATATTTATTAATAAAAAAGTTATTTTTAAAATCGGTTGTAACGGTAGACCAAAAACAACAAGGTGTCGATGATTCTGAGACCTGTTTGGAACTGTTAAAGTAAGATAAAAAAGACCTTTTGCATCGGTATGTGACGGGTCCACCACTTTACTCGGAAGTCAAATTGGTGGGCAACTGAGTGGACAGCAATCGGAAATCTCGCATAAATTGGCAAAAAAATTAACCGTCAGCTGTAAAGTTATGCCATTCGTAAAAACCCACTTTCACCAAAACAGTGCGTCGTATTAAAAGTCGTTGGCTACCAAATTACACAAATTGTACTTCGAGTTGCTTTCAAACTCTCTATATTCGATAGACTTGGCCTCTAGTAATTACTAGCTAAACGCAGGCCCCAAAAAATGCTCCATGGAAAGAAATTGAGCTCTTATAAAAAAGTTATCGCATAAATTAAGGCATATTTTAAGATCAAAGATGAATCATTTAAGAATAGAGATATTAAAAAAGAGCTAGAATGATTCTATTACTCTTGAAGCAGAATACGTTGATGGATAAAGTTAAATTATGCCAAGAAGTGATGGTCTTATTGTTTATCAGCCTATGTCTTGTGTTGAAATTAATCTTATTATTTTTAAAAAAATAGTAATATTTTCAATAATGCGATTTAATGTTTGCATTATCAAATATTAAATTAACTATTTGCATTAAAAACATATCAATAAAATTATTAATTTCATAACATTATTAACATTAATTACTTTGAGTGTTTATTGGACATATCAAAGATTATACTCTTAATAATTAATTTAACAGTTATAGTGATTTATATTTGTTTATAGAGATTTATATTTGTAATATATTTAATAAATTATAATCACAATTATAATTATAAGTATTTAATAATTATAACTAATTTATCATAGTTAATTAATTATAATTAATTAATTAATAATTAAATTTACTTAATTAAATAATTAATTATAATTATAACTGTAATTTATAATTATATATTAAAATTAAATTCATTCCTACGGTACTTATAATAAATTTTAAATATTTTAACCTGTTGTCTAACATTTACCCAACCATTAGAAATCACTCATACGCCACCTAGTCCACCGCACACACTTGCATATAATAGCTTTGAGAAGCTTTATTTACATTGAAAGCGTTATTAAAGAAAAAATACTTCATTTCCTTAGACTTACCATATCGTCAATAAGGATGATAACAATATTTGGTTTTGTGCTTTCTCGTTTTAGCTGTTCCGACTTCTGTGCGTACTTTTCGTTGTCGTCATATTCCCGTTGTGTGTTGACTGTTGTTGCTTTACCAGTTTCTGTTGCATTTGCGAGATGTGCACAGAAAAAAACAAAAACAATGAATAAAACGCATGAAGCTGAAACATAACAAATTCGGTTGTGCAGCGTTGAGCTATGAAATATCATTTTTTTTCTCGTTTCTTGCTTTTCTTTTTATTACGAATCTTCAGTCGACAAGTGTAAATTGTTGTGTCTTAAAGGAATCGATGACTAAACTTCACGTGCAACTATAATCTGATCGAAACTGGATTTGGTAATGTCGATTTTAGTTCTTTAGCGCTGTGTGTTACTCAAGGAATATTCCACTATACTTTTAACTAGTTTGGCATATTTTTATTTTTTATTCTTTGATATTTCCTGGGTTTTTTTACTCCCTTTATATGTCACTTTATATTAAAGCAACCGCCGCTTCAGTTCAATCAACAAGATAAATGATTCAGAAATTAAAGCACTTGAACGTTTTGTTATTTTATTTTTTATTTCCGGGTTCGGTTTCAAGAAGTTTATAGATTTATGTAGATAAAAATCATGGCTCATGACCTCAATTGTTGTGATATTTATCTAAATGTGTTTATGATTCAAGAATAGTTAACTGAAAAACACAAATAATAATAAAAATAAATAATAAGTATTATTTTTGTGTATCTTTTATTAAAAATTAAATAATATTAAACAATTAAGTAATGGTTTATTGTTCAATATTTTTAATAGGTTTGAATTTTTATTTAAAAAAATTTTATTTTTGAACAAATAATCTATTAAAATTGATCACACCTCTTTTACTTTAAAAGCTATAACATAGGCGTAGCAAGCTAGTGGAGCCAGAGGAACCAAATAACAATTTTTGTAATTTAAACTTATTTTTGATATTTATTTTTGTTACTTGACAATTTCTATAAAATATAGAATTTCTTTAAAATTAAATAAATTCTATATTTCTAGAACATTTAGAAACCCGTAAATTTCCATAATGAATAACTTAAACGGGCCATATTAGGTCAGATATTTAATAACTTAACCGTTAATAAGTAATACTTTCTAATTTATGTTAAAATGTTTATTTATATTTTAATAAAACATTTAAATATAAATATATTGTAAATAGTTTCGGTGCAAATTTAATATTGATCAAATTTCTTTACATTAAAAAAAGTGTAAAGAAATACAATAAGACTACTACAGAGAAATAAAGTTCCACTTAATATCTATTATCACATAATTCATTTATTAAATTTTACTAAAGAAAAGACATCGCATTATAATATCAATTACTACACAATTATGTGCCGATTCTTTTTTAAATCGTATAGCAAGATAAGATTCAGTAAATCATTGTGAATACAAGTTACCAAGAAACCATATGTCCAAAATGAATTCTGACACCCCGTATTCCTCAAAATGGATTGTTTTTAAGTTTCCTTTATACATACTTGATGATTACTTAATTCAATATACATTTTGTTCAATCTTCAATGATTTTGTTTTTCTAACAAGTATTTCATCACTCATGTTTTCATTATCGTCTTTAAAACGCTAAAATTGTACTACATCTATACTCTGCCATGAGATAAGTAAATTTCAGCATAAATTTGGTAAAAAGCACGTTTAAAACAGAACTATTTTTGCTTGATAATCAATTTTAGACGTTTTAACACTGGTTTTATTAGTCCACATTTCATGAAGCTTAGATAGTATACCTGTGAAAGATCTACCTAATCAATGCATGTAATTTTCTCTAATTTGATCACATATGAACATATGTTTTAAAAATTTTTGATTACATTAGAGTCTGGTTCCAGATTTACAGGAGGAATTTTCATTTGCGCGTAACTTACCAATGGAAATGTTATATTGGATGTAATTTTAAATTAACTGAACTCTCGCTTCATACACTCAACTAGAAATATTTTCTTTGATTTTTTCGCGCCATTATTAAGCATTATAAAGAAAAAAATCTTTAAATAAAAAAATTTATTATTATTTTTATTAGAGATGAATGTTCAAGAAGGGTTTGCCAAATTATAAAACACATACTTTAATTGAAGTCAACAACATTAAAATGGAGCAATAAAAACGAAAAATAAAAAGTGTTTTTAAACTAATGTGAATACATATTTTTTTTTATTAATGATAATTAAAATTATTATTTTCAAAGTAAAAATATAAAAAATAATCTTTTGCAAAAAGTACTATTCATTTTTATTATTACCTGCGAAGTAAAAATAATAAAGAGAAAAATAATAATATTATTATAAGAAAAAAAAATAGTACAAACTTTTCAAAATACTATTTATTTTTTACCTAAAACTCGTTTATATCAAGTTTTCTGAATGATCGTGCTAGATTATATCATTTATAAATTATATAGAAAATATGATTTTGATGTTAATGGGATTTTGCAAATGACAATTTTATAGAATAAATCTATGTTAAATTATCAGATAATTGTACGTTTCTGGTCTGACACAGATATAACAACACTATTGAGAAACACATATAATTTCTGGAGAGGAACACTCTTCAAACATATATTTGAAAAATTTCAAGACATTTTCGCAAATTGTTTTCAAATTATTAATTTTAAAACAACACAATAATTTCATGTGTCTGGATAAGCATAATCCAATCAAATGGAATGGATTTATATGATGAATTTCAAAGGTCATATTTACACTTATGAAGCTAAACGCCATAGTGGTCTAAAGGCAATTATTACGGAAAATATCGAAAAGTTCGCAAAATAGATGTGAATAATGCTAAAGAGAAGTTGCTAGAGACAGCTGATAACATAAAGATATCAGGACACATTGTCTTCACAATTTTATATAAAAATTGGAGCATTCGTTATGTGATTTTTGAAAGTGGGTGGCACGGTTGCTCACAATGTACTAAAAAACAAGCAAAGCGCTTTCTACAGCTATTTAAAGGAGATAAAAAGTATTTTTTATAGTGCTATTTGACAAAAGCTGAAACACTACTATACACTGACATGAATGCCTAATATTTTGCAATGACAATTGATCAAGAACTCTGCTTAAAAAGAAGTTAAGTGCATCGTATATTTGGACAATTGTTTTGATTGCTAAGTCGAAACTCAACTATTTTAATTGCAAATTAATCATTATTCTAAAAGGTTCTTAATGTACCGAACTAAAAATATGCACTTAATACAGGTATGTGATACCGGTAGCATATCTGATATGCAACAAATATAAAAATTACAATCCAAATTACTGAAAAGTAATATCAAGGCAGTATGGTATATATCCAATAACGACTCTCGTAGAGGTTAAGAAATGTACCAAATTGCTGATATACTAGATAAATGCAGTACAAACTATATCATGCGAAATACTCACATAAAGAATGGTATACACCAATCACCAATTAGAGAAACGACACTCCAGTGGGGTACATAAACAACCCCATGCCAACCGATTCGAAGAATATGATATAAATGCACTTACGTGCATAACACTATTCGCTCTATTTCTCTTAGCGAATTTTTGAAATTTTTATAACTATTATACCATACTATAAGTATGTATGTAATATAAAGTATAAAATATCAATTTGATAGTTACTTTTTCTTGTACGTGAAATAAATAACCCAGCGACAAAAGGACAGATATAAACGTAGAAAAAAAAATCTGATTTAAATCAAAAAGATGGCCAACTGAGTGGACAGTAGCCAATGAAAGCCGTTTAAAGCGATCAAAACCTCAAAAGTGAGAGGGTTCTTAAAAGTCCAAAGTTATAAAGGGGTAAATAGCTTTGCCCATTGTCAGTAAAAATTAAAATGTTCTAAATTTATACGCAAGCATATCTGTAATATCTTCAGTTCCGAATTGGTTATGGCGTCTAAATTTTGTTTATTTACTATACTAGTAAAGGATGAAACTCTCAATAGTGAATACTACATGGTATTTTTGGATCGATTAAGCGTAATATGCAATCAAATCATTAAATTTAAAGTCAGAATTTGCAATTAAATAACGTTAAGAAATGTATTATAGTCGTTAATTCTTTTAGAATATATTAAAAAAATTGTTTATAGTTTATTGATAATAGTTTTGATTTTTAGTCTAAAATTTTAGTAATTAAAATAATTTGGATAGCCAGCAACAAATAAACTGCTACATACATATATTGAAGAATGTATCTCAACAAATAATTTTTTATTAAAACACTAATTTTTAAAATGTAGTAAAAATTAACCTACATTTTAATTTACAACTTGTTAATAAAACAATTAATAACTTCTGTTATCTATTGTGCTTATATTAAAGATAAATGCAATAGAAAGGCTATTATCAAGTTATATAAAGATAAGTGCTCCTGCAGTTTCATTTTCTAAAAGTCTATTAAAAAAGGTAATAAATATAATAATAATTTTAATAATGAAATGTTTTAGTTCCTCTCATATAATCAATTACTTTTGTTATAATCAAAATGTCACACGAACTATGGCAACTACAAAAATACTAATTTTGTCATGAAATTTGTTTTTATTGTTACTGAACTTCAAGGATTATTTGATTTCGCATCTCAATGACAATATTTTCTCAACATTCTACATTCATGTAAACTCAACATACAAACATATATTGTGGTATTATGCTATAATTAATTATTTAATTTAAATTAATGCTTAAGCTTTTTTTTGAATGGTTTTCAAAGTCACACTACTTAGCCGTGCTCATGCGATCAAGATAAACTTATTATTCTATTAAATAAAGACAAACGTTGTAAATATACAAAATAAACTTCAAATATAACTAAAAGTAAAATGCAACATAATTGAGTCGGACGTGTCCACCCTATTGACCTTAAACGATTGTTTAATAAAAATGCATTATATAAATGTAAGATACACCGATAAAGATTTGTGGAAAAATAAATTAATTGAAAAGGTATAATTGAAATATATAACAAATTATTTATAAATTATCATGGAAACCAATACGTGGTTATTTAAAAGTTTATCCGAATTGGTATATATGATAAAAGTATAAGTATTGTTAAATTAAATAAACACTAATTACATATATAAATATAAATAATTATGTACTGGTATACCTTTAAATATCTAATCTATGCAAAGAGCGTTTGAAAAAAAGTTTTCACTAGACACTACCTTTTTTATAAAATTTTAATTATTTTTTAAAAGGAGTATTAATAAAATTTTAAAAAATATTTTATTTGCTCTTATATATATATATGTATAATATTATATATTTATATAATAGTAATATATATATGTAATTTATATATATAGCAAATGAACGAATATTCGGTGCAAGATTTTGTTGGACATGTGTTTATATTTACATACGTCCAATATAAGCAGCATTGACTATTCTGGGATATATACCATAACGAAAGCATAAATTGCTATTGATCATTTAATGCATCTATACAATGGGCTATGTAAAATAATGTACGTAACTCTAAAATCATGACTTTTTAAAACTTTAAAACTAAAACCTATAAAAAATCAATACAGGTCATCATGAAAATGTGAGATTTAATTTTTCCAGATATAATTTTCAAAACTAGTGTTTAAAAAAAGTAATTTTTCACGA